GTGGCAGTGTCCACAGAGCCCGACCATACGACCCTATACAGCGATACAGATCGTCGTAGTTGTATACATACATCATATTATAGTATTTTACCGCCACCCCTCTGTTAAATCTCAGGATCAGTCACGTGCACTTTAAACTTAATGCCATAGAAATCGTTTATTTTACCGCAATCTTGGCATCAAACCTACCGAATTTGATTAAAGTGAGTGGGGGGAGGAGATGCGTACCAACTCTATCTCTCTGCTACTTCAACATATTCCCAGAGGCAAGGAAGTCCAAGACATCTGAGTAAATAATCAGTCACTTTCATGTTTAATAATAAAAGTTGCAGATAAAGTGGTGTTACGGCGGCGAAGGCATTAGGAATTGCTCAGGCAGAATGGTCCAAACCAACCTTAGTCCTATCATAAAGGATTCCTTCTTGGTCCTATGGTGTTTAAATGTCACCACTAGATCCTCTGAAATAGCACTCTCAGATGTTTTTGTTGATAACAGAAGTATTGTTTTAAATGTCGATTGATATTGATATGGGTGTGAGCAGTTCAAACTACGTATTGGTTTATTAGAATCTAAACAACATGTATCTGTTTCATTAACAAATTATTTTTATTTAAAAACCTATGATATTTGATTATCATCGTGCAAAACTACAAAACAACGAATGACCACGCAGGAAAGAAAATTAATTTTAGTATAATGAGTTGGTTATAATAGGCTTAGAGTTGGTTATAATAGACTTAGATACTGAACTAACATTGTTAGTTCAGTATCAGAATATCATAATAATTAATCATCTTTTTTAATACAATAAATATCATTAGTTGAAGTCGTGTTTAAAATGAGTAAAATAGGCCTACAGCTGTTTTATGATCCCACACCTACGACTACGAGTAAATGAACGATGCCGAGGTCATATGGATCCTCTCCCAGTATATTATTTTGCCTCTGTATGTAACTTACATACGGCAGTGAATTTGGCCCTCTCCGGGTTAAATTTCACCCCAACCCACTTTCCTGGAGAGAAAAACCACAATTCATTGGAGAAACAAAAAATATCTCATGTATTTTCTACACATACAAGCCAAGGCTCACGCATTCGGGGTCACCCCAAATGCGTGAGCCTTGGCTTGCTTTTGCTCGTCCGACCAAAGTTTTAATTCGCCTATCCAAATATCCAAATCCATAAAAAATCTGCCCGGGATCCTAGTCGAGGCTGTAGTTTGCACCTAATCATCCTGTCCTGTCAAACATGTACAACCCCCTGTAGGCAAACTTCTGGAGCCATCGCTGAGACTCTGGTCAATATAGTTAAGCAATGATAGGGAGAAATATAACATACAACTTCTTAAAAATAATGAAGTAACAAAGCCAAAAAAAAAAAGAAAAGAAAAGAAAAAGAAAAAACAAAAATGATCGCCAAAGGCGCCTCACAAGTTATATGAGAGCGTCTGAAACACCAAAGTTTCGTGGGGGCATGCCCCGCCCCGGACCCCTAGAGTAGTGTTATCTCGATCAGCGCCACTTCTGCCTCTCCCCCTTTCGGACATCTCTGGATCTTGTCTTATTGTCGATGTTTTTCTCTTAGGTTTTGTAATGATTCCTTGATTTTGTAATATGTAAATTGATTCTGTGTTTCTGGAATGGATAACAATAAATATTATTTCGCGAGGCGCTATATAAATCCAGAATTATTATTATTATTATTATTATTATTATTATTATTATTATTATTAGTATTATTATTATTATTATTATACTATACTATACTATACTCAAAGATCAGCTGAAAGCAAGGAAAACATCTATGGCCTAAGAAGTAGACAGAAACAAATATGATAGAGGGCGCGAGGGTGTGTGTGTTTATGTGGTGTTCAGCTGCATTCACCTCGGGTCAACGGAAACGAAATTTGGACCGCGTCGCCAATGCGCTGAACGCCAGTGTCCCGATTCTTACACACTGATTCGATTTTCCAATCGGGTCGTTAGGCACTCCAATTTGAAAATTCGGACTCGATGTTAATGCAGATTTACTCGCCAAGTGATTGGCTGCGGGAATCCTCCTGCAGAGACCCATGTATCTTCGCAGAATGTTAATTGACGTCACTGACTGGCTATATCAGGAATATATTATTTTGATGACTTATTGGGGAAAACACTGCATTTATAGACTAATAAAAATATAGATAACATTTGGTTTGCAATTTATTTTGATTTTATTTTCACTACCATTCCGCTCATTGCTATCCAAAAGGTACATGCGTTTAGGCCTATACGAATAAACTGGTTTATTATTAACAGCGTATATGTTGCTTATAATGGTATATGCCATTAACGAAATAGCACAATAATAGAACGTGGGTGTGGGGATTTGTATGAGGTGTGTCGGGAGAGTTCTCTCCCGCTTCTTTTCTGACATCTGACCTCCATCACCATGTACTCATACAAACAGATTACTAATAAAAGTGTTTTTAACCTATCTACGATTAGCTGTAGAACGGAAGAGTAGTGATATGTTATACACATCTAGATGTGTATAAGAGACAGTATATATATATATATCCAATCCAACATTTGTGTAAATAGCTACTTGATATTTATACCGCTAAACATTTAGAAATTAATCTTAATTACTAAAATTAAGGATTTTCTAAAAAGTTGAAATGTACACAGGTAGGCCTAATACAAAAACAAGCACATGGTAGGTTTTTGTTTAAATATGTAACATCAAAAAGACAATGCGATGCGAACATTAATAATAAATTGATATAATGTATAGGTATCAGTAGGCCTATATGTTTATTTTAAAAAGTAATATAATTGAGAAAAGTGGTCCGGGCAAAGTGGTGCGGCCGGTGCGGTTCCGACGGCCCTGGATGCTTCTCTAGTTGCCTTTTGAGCCGTTTGAACATGCCACTGTTGAGGAGCCATTAATCTAAAACTTATGGTACTTAGACGTAACACCTAGAGTATCACGTGATAAATGCAGTGACTTACTCAGGGGCACCTCTCACACACGTGTGGACAGTCTGCAATATAATCTGCAAACGGTCCATCCACATCCTCACAATAGTTTTTATAGTATACACAATTTGCTGCATCGGGTTGGCTGCAGTCATCTGTCAAAATATACATTTAAATAGTCATCTAAGTGTCAAGCAAACTTAACAACTGAACAATCAGAACAGATGGGCGGGGCGGGGCTTAGCAGACGGTAAATGCATTTTTACGTTGGCCGATGTTTAAACATTTGAGTGGTAATAAATTATTTTCACATAAATATTAAAAATGAGGGTGTTTTATATTGTATATTAGGGGAAGATTTTGTGGGGGCTGGGCCGTCCCCGGTCCCCTTTTTTGTTTTGAAAGTTAAAAAAAAAGGGGAAAAAAAAAGAAAGAAAGAAAAAGAAAGAAAGAAAAAAAAATGATCAGGGCTATTTTCGGGCGTCTAGAACACAATAAAATTCGCGGGGCATGCCCCCGGACCCACTAGGGTGGTGTTGTCTCGATCAGCTCCATTTTCGACCCTCTTTCTGCCACCCCCCCACTTTTTTTTGGATATCTTCTTGATCCGCCCCGCCAACTGACATGACGAGACTCGGTATAACCATAGAGAAAATATGCTCTATTAAAATATGTTATATTTTCTCTATGGTATAACAGTCACAGCATGGTCACAGCAATCTTATTACGCAAGTATTTACATCGTATAGCGCGGCATACGAAGGAGTCTAAGTTAGCAAGTTGATCAAGACAAACATAAAAATGAAACAATTTGAGCCATACTATTTCGAACCTTTAGAATTAGACAAAAGACTAGAAGAATAATGGAAAAAAAATTCGATTGGGCACTATACTGACTGGTAAGCTTACTACTATTATAATACTAATATAATAATAATACTAGGCCTACTCGTTCTAGGCCAGAGGGAGGCCTAGATAGTAACACACGCATCAGTGGCGTAACTGGCATTGCAGCCAGTGCAATGCACTGGGGCCCACCCAGCTAACAATATTACGTTATTACTGTAATGTTATAATAACGTTACAGTTTGGTGATAAAAAACGTTATTTTGTAGAACCATATGTACGTACTTATCAACCTAATTTCACAACGTCACAACGTTTGAACGTTCTTACAGCGTTGTGCGAACGTTATTTTGTGACATTCCTAACCACATCGTTCGTGAACGTTATAGGAACGTTTTGTGTTTGCTGGGCAGGGCTTTTATGGGCCCATTCATAAATAGACCTAAAAATAATAATTAGAATAGTTTCCGTGTTTTAATTTTGAAAAAAAAAATCTGGCAGCGGAACCCTCAATAATATTCAATTTTTAGAGGAGTAATTATTTATTACTGTATTCAAAGCTGGGGCCCCAGCCTGCCCGACCCCTATTTTTTCAAAATTATAAAAAAAAAGATGTTGAAAAAGGAAATTATATTCATTATATTATTAGTCTGAGAGTGCTATAATCATAAATTGTCTTGCCTCAGCCCCTGGAAGAGGAAGACCACGTCATCCCCACCATTTGGGTGGGTGCAAAGCAGCAAAACAACCCAAATGGTGGGGATGAGGTGGTCTTCCTCCTCCAGCTTTGAAAATCCCTCCCTGTCCCCTCTATTCGAACCCGCCACTAGTAACAATTATTTAATTTTACGTGCCACGAATTTGTTTTGATTAGCTTAGACAAGCTGCTGAGCCCCTCTTAAAATAGTTACGAATCCGATTATAAATGGTATTTAGGAGTAGGAGTTAATTTTTTTTCGCACCTAGCTACGCCGCCGATTCACGTCTGCTGGTTTAAATCGTCACTGTCAGCGTACAGAGGTTGACGAACATAATAAATATTATTTCATTGAAAAACGTATATCGTCCTGTTTTTAGCCTTATGCTTTTTGGCATGTTTTCGTACAATGATGACATAGATTAATTCATAATTTTGTTATAAATGACCTAAGAATAAACTACAGTTGAATAGAAAAATAATTTATAACAAACAATTGCAGTGCAAAAACAATTCATTTATGATAGGCCTATGAAATTAACAGCAATGTAATAAAAACAACAAAAGCTATAGGCCCGATATTGTTTCACGATTCGAGTTCAATGTTAATAACCAGCTATTCTTTATTTCTAGATAACGAGCTTTCTATTGGATGCAGAAGATAGAATAACATGAATAGAGTACGACTTATGAATCAGGGTGCAGGCTGTAAGGTATAGATTATAATCCCATATAAAAAGACACGAAACAAGAAATCCTCATATGGTTATTGGTCCAAATTTACAAGATTGTGTTTATACGAAGTAAAATGCAGTAGGTCTATAATACCAATGTTTATTCTAAAGATTAAGTAAAATTTTGATTTAACACTCAAAAGGTCAAAATATAAAATTGAATAATTATGTTTCTCTTTTTGAGACTAATTTAGTTGATTTGATACAATAAAAGAAAAATAAGTGTCCCTTAAATGGGGGTTAAAATATATTTTGTTAGACCATTTGGCACATACAAAAAGTGTCCCCGTCCCCTTAATAGGGGTGTCCCACAGGAGGGGCTCTACTGTGTGTGCGCGCGCACACACACACACACACACCCACCCACACACACACACACACACACACACACACCTACACCCCCCTCACACACACACACACATATATATATATATATATTATATATATTATATATTTTAATATAATTATCATATATATACCTGTCTCTTAACATATATATATATATATATATATATATATATATATAAATTCAAGTTGATTTAGGTGGCAGTAAATTTAATTAATTTCTCAACATTATTTAACTTACCTTCTGCATTTGTGGTTAATGTGTTCTCCTACATAAAACACAAAGAGAACGACATTATTATTATTATTATAACTATTGAAATAAAATTATTCCATAGAAATCACGTAATAATCTAAAATAATACAATTATGGTTATTTTCTTAGATAGGCATACAGCATGGCAAAATAATGACACTATGAAAAGTAACAGGGGAGTGGTTTAGATGCATCATCTTACATTGACATAATTAGCTATAGTACAGTAAAATGTTTTTATTTTAAAATTTTATGAATGTTAATCTTCCTTACATGGATACATTTTATTCATTAATGACTAACATCGAATTAACACTAAAAGTGGCAAATTATGCTATATTCATTTTTCTTAGAAAAGAGAGCACATTATTTTGCAACACAAAATACTGTATATTATGTAAAGTATAAGGGCCTGTGGCCTTACAGAACTTACCGGCAGGAGAACATTAAGAGCGAGGATGCTCAAGAACAAAATGCACAGTGACTTTGACGTCATGTTGTTCAGTGAAACAGAGTTAAATGCAGGTAGTTATTGTAACCACTTCAGTTGTAGTTTGATTTTCACGGTTTTCAGGGTTTCGTCGAAGTTACGGTCTTTTATAGAACTTGGAAATTTCAGCAGCAAAATCTGGAGCATATGATTGGCTAGTTAATTTTTCAATTGAAATATTGAAAGTGTACCATCGCTGTGCTGTAGGCATAATGGATACGTATGATTCATAATAATAATAATAATAGTAATAATAATAATAATAATAATAATAATAATAATAATAATAATAATAATAGTCTGTCTCTTCTGACTTTTAGTTTCTGTGTAGCCTAGGATAGCTTTGTTTCTTTCTTATTTTTTCTTGTTCTGCGCATAGAGAGCATGTATTTTGGTCTCTTATACACATCTAGATGTGTATAAGAGACAGACTTATGAATCAGGGTGCAGGCTGTAAGGTATAGATTATAATCCCATATAAAAAGACACGAAACAAGAAATCCTCATATGGTTATTGGTCCAAATTTACAAGATTGTGTTTATACGAAGTAAAATGCAGTAGGTCTATAATACCAATGTTTATTCTAAAGATTAAGTAAAATTTTGATTTAACACTCAAAAGGTCAAAATATAAAATTGAATAATTATGTTTCTCTTTTTGAGACTAATTTAGTTGATTTGATACAATAAAAGAAAAATAAGTGTCCCTTAAATGGGGGTTAAAATATATTTTGTTAGACCATTTGGCACATACAAAAAGTGTCCCCGTCCCCTTAATAGGGGTGTCCCACAGGAGGGGCTCTACTGTGTGTGCGCGCGCACACACACACACACACAC